AGGGAAGCAAAACTATGAATTTTTAAAATAGCTTTTGTAGAAAACGGAAGAGTAACCTGCCTAGGAATTTGGTGTATAATTTGCTTTAGGGGGATTCGACACCCTGGACTTACGTTCAGACGTGGCCAGCCAGTAAAGTGATATTTACTTTCTTCTGAGTTGATATTTGCCTTCATTCTCCTGCTTATCCCTTCCACAAATAAAATGTGGGTCAAGTACTTTGTATGTGCTGGGCCTTCAGGACAACACAAACAGGACCCCTGGCTTTACAATCTTAAAAGAAATGGCCAGGAAAACAGTTACAACAGCAATTACATAACAGAAGTACATGCAGAAAGTGTAGGAAGATTGCCTATCGCAGACTGGAGGGGACACGGAAGACCTCTTTGAAGAAACAGTGCTTCGGACCTGGAGAGATGGTAGTTGCTTAGGAAGCAGAGAGAGGAAGAACGCTCATGCAGGGAACAACATGTGCAAGGACCCTCAGGAGAATCCTGAAACAGGAAGGCTATGTCACCACGAAAGACCTGAAACATGCAGAGTGTGCAAGGAGAGAGATTCATGAAGACTGAGCCCAACTTGGGAAGTTGGTAAACACTTTGCACTTGAATACAAAAGCAACTGAAGAACACTCCGGCAATGGGCTGCAAAACAGATTAGAAACAGGCAGGAGTAGATGCTGAGTAAATAGATAAGAGGTTAATGAATCAGATTCCAGGCCAGAGAGGATGCTAGTATGGATGGTAGCGTGCCAGCCTTCGTGTTGGCAGTGAGGACGGATAAGTGAACACATTCACAGATTCAAAAGAAGAAAAATCATTTAGAATGTAAAATCTGGATGAGGAAAATGAGGCTAAGTAAGGAGGAATACATGATGATATTCCAATTCCAAATTGGGAAATTAGATGGATGGTGTACAGTACCAACTATTTTGAAAGAACAGGTGTGGAAAAGAATATTTTTGTCTTCTTTTTACAGAGTTGAGTTTGAGACATCTGTGAACAACCCAGGTAGACATAAGCAGTTGAACATATGGTCCGTCCTCCCCATGCGTGGGTTCCATAGCCACAGATTAGACCACCAAGTGTGGAAACAATCCAAAATATTCTATCTATAGTGAACACATAATATAGATTTGTTTTTCTCATCATCATTCCCTAAACAATGCAACCATTTGCATAGCATTACATTGCATTAGTGATTAGAGGGGTAAAGATTAAAAGAAATATCCAAAATTGGATATTACTGATCTAAAACCAATAACAATGTCCATCTCATGATGATTTAAAACACATAGGAGGAGGCATATAAATGATATGCAAATACTACACCATGTAACCTATGGGACATGAGCATCCTCGGATTTTGGAATGGGGAAGGCCCCTGCAAAACCAAGGACTGACGGTACTTAACCTTCAGTTTGTTCTACCAGTCTTCTACTCCTCCTGACTTCTTGTTTTGCAGTAGGTTGACCAGCTAGCTACATCACACCCCTTCCCTCACAGGATACTGACAAGAGGGTTTGCCAAACTGAACACCAAGTGCTTCTGACAAGTGGTAAAGGCAGGAAGAAGCAACAGAGAGCCGAGAACTTTCAGTACTGTCTTGGCAGGAAATCAAAAGGTGACACTTTAGCAGCTAATTCTGCTGTTCTAGCTCTATGTGGTTGATAGATGGAACCACAAGGCAGGTTGCAAATATGAGGGGTTACCTAATCATGGAAAACAGTATGAGAAATGCATCGATATGCATAGGTTTTATGCACACATTCTGCCATTTGGTAAAAGCGACTTGAACATTCTACATTTTGATGTATGCAAGGTAAAAGAGCCTGGAGCCAGTCCCACTCAGATACCAAGGCATGACAGTATACCAAGGCTGGAAACTCAGAGGGGTCTTTACAGAGACCAAACCTGGGACCTGGCTACAATCTGAGTGGATAAGGTCACATGGGCATAGGACGCAGAGCGAGAACAGGGTCCTGGGCAAGTCCCAGAGAACTGCTCCTCCAGCACCTGAGCAGAAAGGAACAGCAACAGACAGACAGAAACAGCCACGAGGGGAAATGAAAAAAACAGGAATCTGGCACTAAAATGCAAGGAAAGCAAATGTTTGAAGGAGAGTCACTATGTTTAAAGTTGAGTGGTCCAGAACATTGATGAGTACAATTAGAGAAAATAATTCTAATGAACATTGGGTAAGATGTGGCATGAGTAGGAGGAATGGAAGCAGAGAAAATCCATTGAAGAAGTTGAGCAGTGAAAAGAGGGAGGAAATTAAACATTGAAAGGGCCACATTGGAAAGGTTAAAAATGGAGAGGAAGAATGTATAATATATTGAATCAAGGAATCTGAACTATGAAGAAAGTGAATGATACATTTACAAGAGAAAGCAACTGACATCACTAATAATCAGGAAAACACAAATCACAGCACAGAGATGTATTATGATGCTCACATCCATTAGGATGGCCGCTGCCAGAAAAAGCAGGAACTATGGACTGTTGGTAAGAATGTGCAAAATAATTGGAACCTTTGTGCACTGTTGGTGGCATTTCAAGATGCAGCTGCTATGGAAAACAGTATGAAGGCTCCTCAAAAAATTATAACCATCATATAATCCAGCAATCTACTGCGAGGTATATATCCAGAAGAATGGAGAGCAGGCTCTCTCAAAGAGCCAATGGCACACTCAAATTCACTGTAGAATGATTCACAATACCTAAGACACAGATGTGACCCAAATTTCTACTGACATAAGAGTAAAGAAAATATAGAATATATATCCAGCAGACCTCTATTCCAAATAAAGTTTTTAAATCCTGCCACATGTTATTATATGGAAAACTCTTAAAGGGCATTTCACTCAGTGAAATAAGCCAATAAGCCAGTCACAAAAACCTAAACATTGTAGGATTCCGCTTATAAGGGTTTTATAAAGCAGGCAAGTTCATAGAGATGGAAAGTAGAACGGTAATTGCCAGGGACTGGGAGAATGAGGGAAACAGGAAGTTGTTCAGTAGAGTTTCATATTCACAAGATGCAAAAAAGTTCTGGGAATCTGTCATACAACAATGTGAGTATATTTAATAATACCTCAGAACCATACAATTATAAACAGTTAAGACGGTAAACTGCTTTTTAACCACGACTTAAAAATAAAAGGGGCTAAGCAATACCAAAGCATACAGAGAAAAGGCTGCCAAAAGGAGCTGCAGTAAGACAACGGGGTTTCATTTGTAAAGCAGTGACTCTGAATGTCAAGGATGAAGACAGCCAAATGAGGTCTCCTGGTTCAAACTTATTCAGATTATATTCAAAGTCAGGCCTGTGTTCACTCTGGAAAGCCAATGGGCCTTTACCACACACCAGGAATTATGGGATCTCCATGAACATCCAGAATGGGGAATATAAGAGTTCCCTAAATTTCAGTCAATCTCAGTGGGTCAGAGGTTCCCCTGGCTGAGCTGGCCTAGACGGGAAGCCCCTGGCAAGGAGGTACAAGAGTGTTTCCCTGAGGGCCTAAGGAAAACTGCTGAGCCATGAAAGAACGGAGTCTGTCATCTGCAATAAAATGGATGGAGGGCATCATGTTGAGTGAAATAAGCCAAACACCTGGCTTATTTCAGAAATTAAAAAATATACAGAAAAACACTGCATGCTGTCTCTCATGGTGGGAGCAGGGAATGATTCAATCTAAGCAGAGTGTTGACGGGCTGGGGGAAGAGGGAAAGAGAGCTGGGATTAAAAAAAAAAAAAAAAAAGGTGGTCCATTAGCTGTGTTCAATTAAACTAATATAAGATGCCAGTAACAGAAGAAGTTGGGTTGTGCCAAATACACTGATACAAGATGTTAACAGTAGAGAAAGCCAGTATGGGGCATATGGAAACTGCACTACTTCATAATTTTTGTTTCATAAATTTAAAACTATTGTGAAATTTAAAAATGTTTAAATGCTGCAGGCAAGGAGAGAAATAAAAAAACATATGTTCTCCATTCCATTTGTAAAATGTCTGCTCAAACTCTGTTTACAGAGCTTAAGCTTCTTGGGTCTGTTCTTTTCTTTTCAATGCAAGCCAACAGAGCTGGAGTGCTTAGATCTGTAAACACTTGGAAAAGAAAGAGAGTATGTTTCAACTTCTCCACAGCTGCAAAAATATACAGCAAACACCAGGCTGCACCATAAAGTTCTTTCTGAAGATGGTGAATTGAGAATGTTTACCAAAGAATCAGTCTGAATTTCCTTCCCAATGCAAATCCTTTCAACACAATGCACAGTACGCCATTCTATTTAATGAAGCAGTTATTTAAGACATCTGGGCTTCAGAGTGCCACTGCGTACTTAGAGTCCTAATCCCCAAAAGACTACAATTGGATTGGCTGTATTAATCATGTGTATAATTTTGATTGAAAAATTTTCCCTATTCAAATCTTATCACATTAAACCAGAAGAGCAGCTCTGGCACTCCTCCCTCCACGCCGCAAGGCTAATAAAACCCACGACTGCATTGAATTCCTTATTCAAACAAAAGGGCTGAAAGTCTCCGTCTTGTTTAAAGTTACCCTAGGCTTACAGGATCCACCAAGTCACAGGAGAGAAGCAGCAGCTTCCGGCAGGGCGCGGTCAGGGGACTGACGGCGGATCAAGAGGCTGCAGCGACTGCCGGAAGGAACAACGCGCAAGGCGGTGTGCGCCTTCTAGTCCCTGCCTCCCGCTAACGTCTCTCTCCAGGACAGGTCCCGATTTGTTCAACTATAAATCAAACGAATAAAACTCACCTGTTTCCACTGCTACAACCCAGACCGGCTGCAGCAGGTGCAAGGAAGCAGAACTAATTATAAGAGGCCCTTGTCTTTGGGGCTGGTTTGTGTAACACTTTCTTGCGCGCGATGTTTTAGAGACAAGCATAACTGAACAAGATTCTAAGCTCAGGCTCCCTTGGGCAGCTCTGGTGCTGCTGTGGGTGAAGGTGGTTGGGGGGGGCTATCGGATAGTTACCAGTGTTTTCCATAGAGCCAATGGCCTCCCCATGTCAGCAGGCACAAGCCAGCGGTAGTTTTCTTCCAATGATTTCGAAGTGTTTTAAAGAACACGGTCATCTTCTCCTACGGATCTGCTGGGTTAGCTGAAGGAGAAAAAGAAACAAAAATGGAGGAAAAATGGAGGAAAAATGCCTCTTTCTCTCTCTTACTGTTTTGCGCACATAAATCCTTAAGAAACCAAAATGATTGTAAAGCACCAGCACTGTGACATAGTGAATTACACTGCCACTTGAAATGCTGGCATCCCAAATCAGGCTCTGAGTTCAAGTCCTGCCTGCTCTGATTCCAAGCCATCGCCCTGCTAACACACCCGAGAGGACAGCAGGCGATGGCCCAAGGGCTTGCGTCGCGGTCACCCAGGACGGAATTGCTGGGCTATGGCCTTCAGCCTGGCTCACTTCTGACGGCCGTAGCCATCTGGAGAGTGAATCAGCAGTTACAATGTCAGTGAATCAATTTCTCTTGGTCATTTCACCTTTCAAATAAATAAATAGATAGATAAATATCTTTAAAAGGGAGTGTCTTATGCAAAGGCCAGAGAATTAGCATTCGGCCCACATAGGGGAAGAGTGGAAGGAGGGAGGATAGTACAAGAGGGAATTCCAGATTTACCGTTTCCTCAGACACCCAAGTGCCACATGTTGGGGCGGCATATCCTGATCCCCTGAAGAACAGGGTTCCAGTGCAGAGGTTGTCATATACAGAAAGTTGGGTGCCACCCTCTGCCACACAAGAACCTCACGTGTTCTGGAACTGAGCTGTTCCCCTTCAGCTCTAACAAGTACGCCCCTAACTGCCACGGAGAGACAGGCCCCATATGAGACTTTCCGAAGCGACGGTTTCCAGGAAAAGGGGCAGGGGTCGAGGGAAGATTGGAAGAGTCCTGGAACGTTTACCAACAAGCTAAGCTATGATGTTGGATCAAAAATCCTGGATGAAATAGAAACATATTTGAAGTGTACAAGGATCACTTTGTAGCAGAACGGAAAATGCACTGGTAGAACCGGAAATGAAAGCTAAAGAAAGTCCCTAGGACATTATTCCTATTATCTCGAGGTCCCTGCAGGAAGGAAGGAGACAAACCATGGACTGAAAAGTCCCAGCAGACATTGGAGCCCTTGGTGCTGTGCTGACGGAGCAGCAGGTGAGAGGAGCCACGCCTGCCAGACGACTACAAAGCACTTAGGTCCGGCTTGCAGGTGCGTGGGTTTAGTGTGCGCAGGCCACAAGGAGCAGCTGCAACCCACACACCTGAGGGGCACCCAAAGGGAACTGCCCACAGGATGCAGGGGTGTGGCAGTTGAAGTGAGGAAAACCTGATTTTCCAGGGTAAAGGAAGTCCAGTTTGAGTGCAGAAAAAAATCAGACAGAGCACCCAGGTCCAAGACCTGGAAGAAGCTCCTGGCTTTGGTTTGGCCCAGCCTGGGGCCACTCAGGCCATATGGGAAACAAACCAGCAGGCAAAAAATCGGCAATGAGTGTCATCAGTTCCTCTCCCCCAAACCTCTCTCTCTGCCTCCCTCTTCCTTTTTCTATTACCCCTTCAAGTAAACATGTAAACAAATCCATTAAAAAATTAAAAATTATAGGGGCTGGCACATCCCTTGCAAGCGATGGAATCCATATGGGTGCTGGTTCATGTCCCAGCTGCTCCACTTCCCATCCAGCTCCCTGTCTGTGGCCTGGGAAAGCAGTCGAGGACAGCCCAAAGCCTTGGGACCATGCTCCCATGTGGGAGACCCAGAAGAGGCTCCAGGCTCCTGGCTCCTGGCTTCAGATAATCTGGGGTCCAGCTGTTGTGGCCATTTGCGGAGAGAACAGGCAGATGGAAGATGTTTCTCTCTGTCTCTCCACCTCTCTTTTATTGGACAGATATTAAATAAATCTTTTTTAAAAACTATTTTAGGGTCCAGCAAGATAGCTTAGCAGTTAAAGTCCTCCCCTTGCATGCACCAGGATCTTATAATCCCAGCAATCCTGCTTCCCATCTAGCTCCCTGCTTGTGGCCTGGGAAAGCAGCTGAGGACGGTCCAGGGCCTTGGGACCCTGCACCCGCGTGGGAGACCTGGAAGAAATGCCTGGCTCCTGGCTTCGGATCGGCCACTTGGGGAGTAAATTAGCGGGTGGAAGATATTCCTTTCTGATTCTCCTCCTGTCTGTATATTTGACTTTCCAATCAAACATAAATAAATCTTTTCAAAAATTACTTTAAAGCTTAAGATGAGCACAGAGTGAGAAGAATGCTAGCAGGTTAGAGAACACTCCGAGAGTTGACAAGTCTGCTTGCGGACATCTCTGGCCACTGAGGACTCTTTTTCCATCATCGACAGGCTTGTGTGTTAACAAAACAGTGTGACAAACACGTGCGCAGCCTAGTGAAGTGGAAGGCGTGCAGGGCTGAGAGTCCAGGAGCAGATTCCAGTCCTGGCTCTGTCATTTACTGGTGGCCGGCCACTGCGTCTTCACTAGTGAAGACCCCCTGTGAGAGGGCTGTGCCTGTGCTGTACAAAAGCTCTGTATGTCAGCAGTCACCTCCACTGTGCATCATAGAACATATTTCTACACACACATATAATATACAATAACTCTTAAAAATTTTCTTTCTCCAACCTTAGAAAAGTCAAAAACTCAGCTGACCAAATGAACATATCTTAAAAAGCAAGCTTTAATTCTCAAAGAATTCTAATATTCTAATTGTACTTTAACACACACACACAGAAATGAGAAAACCAGGGGGTTTTCTTTCTAGAAGAAGCCCTCCCCTGCAGGTTCTACTCATCCCCAGCGCCAGAGCAGGAAAGCGCCTAGAATCAATGAATGAATCTGTTCACGCATCAACCGATCCGAAGCAACCGGTCCCCATTTTGCAAAACTGAGTACGCCGAATCCCGGGGGATGGGGAGTGGGGGGTCGCGGCTGACCGGCCACAAAGCTACCTAACCACAGCCCTGGGATTCGAACCCTGGACCCCCGCGTGCCTCCGGGAGCGAGGGGGCCTCGCGGCGGAGCCCTGTCCTGCCGCACTGTCCCGGCCCAGGCCGCGACCCCCGAGCCCGGGACCCCGCAACGGCCCCGCCCCGCCGCCCGCCGCCGCCCCCCGCCGCCCCGGGACCCTCGGCTCCCCGCCCCGGCCCCGCCGCACTCACCCAGGCCGGGGCCCGCTCGCCGCCCTGCCTTTCCTGTGTGCTCGCTCAAGATTCCCCCTCTCGCTGAGGGAAACCGCGCCCGCCAGCCCTCGGGTTCCGCCGCTCTCGGGCCGCTGTCGTTCTCGAACCATTCGTTCTTGCACACTTCCTTCTCTGTTCCGATGCTCTTTCACCCCCCCACTGACGCTCCCTTTGGACCTGGAGCGAACTCGAAAAAAATATATTACACGAGCATAGTGATGTCAGAGAGGGAATGAGTACCGCGAAGATGCACCGGGCGAGGCAACAGAAAGGGCCCGGGGAGCTTCCGCGGTCGCGCCCAGTGAGGGGCGGCCGGCCTGAAGGCCTGACTTGGGGGCTCCAGGGTCGGAGCCCTGCGGCCGTGAGAGGGCCCGTGTCTATGGGGTCGCAGGGGCCAGAACAAAGCTGGAGGTCTGAAGGAGACAGGCCCCAGTGGGAGACCAGAGCCTACGGCCCCAAAGTGGTAGGCAGGCGAGAGGCAGACGCAGGAGAATTCGGCTCTATGTAGATTTGCCTACAGGCAGGACTAACAAGAGACCAGACGTAGCCCACACCTGCTCTGCATCAGAGACAAAGACGCACCACTCAAGACAGCCTGCCACCCCCTTCAGCCTGGACGTGACCTAGAAGTGACTGACTAAAGCTTGTTGGCCATTGGGTGCCCTTGCCCCAGTTGCCCCCTGAAGACTCAGAGTTCCCCTTCCTGGGTCTTGAAGCGTCTCTAAAAAGGTGTAATTCTTTGTTGAAGACGCTGTAGATGCCACTGCTTTGCAATGCCTTCCCTGAGCGTTCCACTGTATGGGTGAATACACTTGCTTGTTTTTCTGCTAGGGGTCTGAGACCCACATGCTATGTCAATTATATTTCAATAAATTGTTCCAAAAGAACACAGTGCTTCTCCAGCTAAATAAATTGCAAGCCACAGGCTTTGGGCAGGTAGGAGATACAACAGCATTATGTTTCAAAAGGTGACACTGAAATTTTAATAGGTGAAATAGGTGAAGATTATTGGAAAAAAAAATAATCTAGCTGATATCACTAGTATGCCTAACCCTTGTTATAAATGCATTTTCAGTGTAGTTTAAGGAAGGAGTTCTTCTGTCAGCTGCTTCATTTCCCAAACAACCACCACAGATGGGAGAAGGCTGGAAACGGAAGGCTAACTCAACCCAGGCCTTGCACATGGGCGGGAGGGCACACGGACTGGAGCCATTGCTTGCATATTGCAGGAAGCTAGAATCCGAAGCAGAACAGGAATTCAAAGCCAAGCATTCCATATGGGACGTGGGCAACCCAAACAGTGACATCAGCGCTGGGCTAAATACTCACCCTTGCTTAGCTTTTTAGTGTCCCAAGATTCATCCTCTGGTCACTTCCCTAGACCTTGAACCTGTGTGGTGCTCAGTTTTCTATGGATTCATTAACAATGAAATTGAGTTGGAAATTCAGGAAATAATGATGTGATTCTCCTACCATGGTATGAGCCTGAACAGGTCGCATCTCAGATGAGATCTGCTTGTGGGAATAGCACCTCCCTTATGAATCAGTGCTTCCATTATGGAAAATTATGCGAAAAATTTTAACATTAATTTTAGTGTATGTACTCATTTTATGCACAGATACTTCTTTAAGCTATTTTGTCTCCCCTAAGGGAAAAAAAATATGAAATGGTGTTCTTGTGATATTTATGCTTAAAAATCCTTTCCTTACAATGACCTTTAATATCCACTGAATCTGTGACTACCAGATTGGAAACATGTAAATGAGGCCTTTCCAGAAACCAGTGGGTTCCTAGGAGAGAGAATGTCTTCTGTGTTATCACAGGGGATTTAGGAATTGGGATTGGAGTTGCCCATTGAAACCCATAGTGTGAGGGGCCCTGCCTTTTCCCTTTCATCCTTGGCCACCCACTCCTCCTGACTCTAGCCGGTCTCTGGCTCATACTTCCCAGCAGCCACTTTTGCAGGAGAGCAAAAAGGAACTATGATAGGCACACACTGCTTATACAAGCAAAGTCCCCTATACTGGCCACAGAGAGCATCACAATATATTTAGTAGTCTGACCTTGTATTAGGACTGGGTCCCCTCCGTTGCTGATGCCTGTGCACTGGGCAGCATGCCTAGATGCACAAAGGGGACATGTTGGGCAGTCATCTAGGCCAGCAGAGGATGTGGAGTGCCTTGTCAGAGAATGGAACGCACAACAGGTTGGATTACTTTCTGGCCCAAACCTTGTAACATTCTTGGGCTTGTGTACACGCTAAGGTGGACTTGGGCTTGGATTTTTTCAACCCTGGTGCCATGAAGCCAATGACGTCTCAGAACTATCCAGGCCACTAAAGTAACACTCTCAGAACACTGTCACCCACATCAGGGTCTCTAAGTCGTCAGTAAACAACCATCCCCCATCCCTTTGACAGCATGGAGCAACCCCTCTCCTGTGGACGCGGAAGAAAAAACAGTTGAAACATTTGTCCCACTCTGGACCCTTCCTAACCTAATCAGAGGCCACAAGGGCATCCATCTCTTCCAACTATATAAACATTAAAAATAAAACCAAAAAACTAACACAATGTCCAGAAGAAAAATACTTCCGCTAGTCTCGGCTTTGCCTTCTCATTGTTGTGACAGTATCCTTATAAGAGCAAAAGTTTTAAATTTTGAGGTATAGTGATTTTTTTGAGTTTCATAATTGTATAGAGTATAGGAATTTTTTGGCTTAACCTGTGATCATAGAGCTTGGTCTCCCACGTTTTCTTTAAATAGTGCTATAATTTTTTGTGTTTTTTTTATGTTCAGGATTAGGATCTAAGCTAATTTTAATCAATGATGTGAAGTATGGGCTGCGGTTTCTTTTTCCCACGTGTCTATCCAGTTATTCCAGCATTATTTGTTGAAATATCACCCTTCCCTCCCCTGACTTGTCTTGGTGAATCGTTGTACCACATATATGGATCCATGCCTGTATTCTTTATTCTATTCCACTGGTCTATGTGTCTGTCATTCCTTACGCCAACACTACATCCTTTTGAATAGTAAGACTTTTGCTGTTTGAATAAATATCTTCCCAAATAACTTGAAAGACCTACATATTTTAAGTTACTCTATGAAGTTACAAAAGATGTTTTCAACTTTGATTAAAAACTAAGATTTTAAGGTCAGTATTGTGGCACAACAGGGTAAGCCAGCACGTGCAATGCCAAAATCCCATATGAATGCCAGTTTTAGCTGCTCCACGTCTTCTCTAGTTTCCTGTTACTGCACCAGGATGGCAGTGGAGGATGGCCAAGAGCTTGGGCCCTGCCATCCATGTGGGAGATACGGATGGAGTTTCTGGCTCCTGTATTCAGCCCAGCACAGTCTGGTTGTTGAAGCAATTAGGGAAACAAACCAATAGATGGAAGATATCTTTCTCTCCCTCTCTTATCCTGCTTTACAAATATATGTATATTTACAAATATATATATATTTACAAATATACATATATTTACAAATATATATATTTGTGAAGCAGGATATATATACATATATAAAGATTAAATATATATGTATTTTAATCTTTATTGAAATATATATATTTTTAAATCTTTATTGGAAAGTCAGATATACAGAGAGGAGGAGAGAAAGAGAGGAAGATCTTCCATCTGATGATTCACTCCTCAAGTGACCGCAATGGCCAGAGCTGCACCAATCAAAGCCAGGAGCCCAGAGCCTCCTCCGGGTCTCCATATGGGCACAGGGTCCCAAGGCCTTGAGCCATCCTGAGCCTATCACAGTGTGTCTTCCTTGAGAGCCTGGGTGACATTACAACTGCTAAACTCTGTTCTCTTACGCTAATTCCTGTTTTGAACAAGGATGCTTGCAACCGAGTGCTCTGACATAAAATAGTGCTCGGAGATGTTTTTGGCAAGTATGTCCCAGTGTTCGGCACAGCAGGGTGAATGAAGTTAACAATAAAGCATGCTATCTCTCAAAATAGAAGAGAGGATTTAGAACATACACATTGTAAGGAAATAACAAATGTTTAAGGTGATGGATACATTCATCTCTCTGAGTTATCATTACCCTGTGTATACGCTGAGACGAAGCATCACCTGTGGCGCAGTGTGTTAAGCCATTGCTTGATATGTCAGCAACCCCTCCTGCAGTATGGCTGCGAGTCAGTGCTTGTACTCCTGCTGCCCACATGCAGTTCTTAGCTCCTGGCTTTTGCTGTTGCAGCCATTTGGGAATCAGTGGCTAGACAATCTCTTTCCCCAGCCCTCACCCCTCTTCACCATTTTGTCTTTCAAATAAATAAGCAGCCAGCAAATAAATAGATCTTTAAAGAAAATATACGTCTGGTCTTGGGAACTAACAGATTCAACTGTCATGGTGAAGACAGGAGACCCAGGTTCAGTTTCCGGATCTTCTGCTTAGTGTATGTCACTAGACATGGTTATCG